AAGCAGAATATTTAGGACACATACCTGACCGTAGGAATACCCACTTAAACCAACACCGGTACTCAAAAACACAGATATATTACATGTTGATGTGCATTTGTGTTTTGCTCAACAGCCAACCACTGTTCTTTTTAATGCCGACTGCGAAGCCCCTTCGTGAGTATAAAGTGAGATAATAATGCTTACAAAGATGCACTGCTGACCAGAACCTGTGCATCAACTAATATATTACAATTTAGCGATACGTCGGCAATGGACGAGTAACAATGGAGTCAGCCACATAAACCTACAGAATTAAACACCTCCGATCTCATGTCAAAGCCATAGCTCGACGGTAGTCCTGTCATGAGGAAGACGCACTGTGCGGCTGCTCCTAGATTCCGCTTTTTTTCCAGCGCCCGTTTCCAGAGACGCAGTGAGTCATAGGTGCTCACGTTTCCTGGATCAAATATCACAATGGCAACGTCACCGTTTTGATCAATTGACATGTCCTTGAATTTCGACAGGAAAAAGTGTCCAGTAAGTGTGTGTGCACAGCGAAAGAAGTAGAATAACAAAGTTGAGAAGCTTAACCATCGAAACCATGGGAGACTAGAGCAAAAGTGGCTGGCTTTTGGTTGTCGTCAGTCCTACTTCAACCGGTTATCATCGCGTGTTCAACATTTAGTAAATATTCACCAGACTTATGCCCTATATGGATGCAAACGCGTCATTCTGACGACGCACACAGTTATAAAGCCTAAATATATTGCATTAACGAATTGTTTGATTGATCGTGTCACACATGGGGTGCAGGTTCAGGTAGAGCGGTTATTTTATCAAAAAACATATTTGAGTAGCTCCAGAATATTTCGTATTATTATTATGATTTCTTTTTCTTATATATTCCATCACCTGCTAATTGAAAACATCGGACTACTTCTCGAAAGCAAGTAACCAAAATCTTAACTTGACTCAAATTCGTCAAAATCTTCAAACTGCGCAGGTTGTGTCAAAAAACTCACTTCACGCATGACGATAGAATATATGAGGACGCTAAATGAGCCAATTTCTTCACCAATTTCTAAAATCGTATGCAAGGACTGCCTGCAACGATTAGAGTGACTGCCCATCCAATTAGGCACTTCAGCATTCTGTGCTAAGAATTCCATTACTTCTCGTGAACATCGAGCGAGGTGAGGCTTTGACAATTAAATAACAAAACAATATCGATTTCACGAGGTAAACGGAAGAAAAGATATCGGACTACTTCGATTGATGTTACAGTCCACTGTCAAGTTTATAATGACCTTCAAACCGATGGCTGACAGCGAAACATCACTGACGTCGTTGTTAATTCAAATTTAAGATTTAAAGGCATTTGAAAATACAAAACCAGTTGGTAAGCTGAATTTCAATTAAAAAAGTATAGTAAGAGATGAAAACGTGCGTCAGTGCTCAGTACGTCCTCTATTTATTAGACACTGGAATCACGAATCCTAACTTGAAGCCTCTAAAAAGTACAACTCCTACCTTTTTTTCCTATTCATATACAAAGATTCTAGTATACAGTTCTCTGACATCGAAAGATCATAGCGATCGTTGTTACTTGGAATATAAGAGTTTAAGGCACTTGAAAAAAGCAAAACAGTTGGTAAGCTGAATTCAAAAACAAACTTAATTACGCGACGGTGACATGTATCGCTGCCAAAATTACCTTGAGTGGTCCGTTGTGGTTTATTTTTTCTTTATTTGTAAGACACTTAAATCACGATATTTCAGCCCATGCATGGCTAAAGCACACAATATATGGTAGGTTTTAAATGAAATATTATTG